CCCAGCCCACTTGCCTGCCTTCCCTGCAGCCTCCCATGGTCCAGCCCGCTTGTCTGCCTTCCACATGGCCCCTGTTACATGTGGAGAACTGTTTGTTAATTTTCTGAGCAGTTCGGAAAACTGGTTGTTGGGAGAAATCTCCTTCCAACAGCCTTTTGGTTTTTTCCACTTTACAGGGCTAATCCTGTCAGGAAGGCAGGAAGAGTGCCTGTGTGTTGTTTCTAGCCTAATCCTTATCTTTACAGAAACCACTTCTCCGGTTAAGCCTTGTTAACATTGTAACAGCTAATGGTTCTTATAAAAACCATATAATTTAGCATCTTTTTCATATCTAGATTGTATTTGCAGCTGTGTATACCAAACCATATCAATCCCGTTTTTCCAATTCTTGTTTCTGTTAATTCAGCTTTTTCTTCTACTTTTTGTATTCATTGCTCATTTTTCTCCATGATCTCTTGAAATTTTTTTAATTTCTCTTCTACTTTCTCCATTCTCTAATCTATTTTACCTACCTTCAAATCCTCATGAAGAGCTTGTATCATAGTCTTTAATTCTAATTGCATAGTATTAGCTTTTTCTTGTTGTGTCATAGCATCCAATGTTCTCTGACCAGCAGGGCTAGAGGTTGTAGAAGAGGACGCTGAATATAGTGCTGATGTTGTTTTCTTCATCTTGTAATGTCTTAATATTTGTAATCCACCAAATATAAGTCGTTGTAATTCCAACCCAGTTTATAATCCAAATATAGAACCACAACAAAAAGGAGGCAAAAAAGAAAAAGAAAAGAAAAGAAAAGAAAAGAAAAGAAAGAAAAAAAAAAACCCAAAAGCTTTGTAATTCAAATCCAACTCTCAGGGTTTTTCTTACTTCTTTTCTTCAGGTTCTTCTTACCTTAATCCAAATTGCCTCAGGGAGAGGAAAAATAAAATTTGTCATCCAAAACGGCTCACCTGGCCCCAAAAATACAGTTATCCTATTTTTTATATTCAAAAAAGAGAGTTCACAGCTCTACCACAAAAAAAAAGAGAAGAAGACAGATAACAGCCACTAAAATACTTCCATCAGTACGCTGATGATACTCAGCTGTACATCTCCACCCGGACCACCCCAATGATGCCCTTGACATGATGTCTCGGTGCCTGGAGGCTGGCGGATCTGGATGGGGAGAAACAGGCTCAGACTCAACCTTTCCAAGACCAAGTGGCTGTGGTTTCTGGTGTCCCAGTATAGCCAGCTGGCTCCATCGCTGACTATTGGGGGCGAGAACTTGGCCCCCTCAGAGAGGGCTCGCAACTTGGGTACTCCTGGATGCACGGCTGTCTTTAGAAGATCATATGACGGTTGTGGCCAGGGGAGCTTTTTATCAGGTTCACCTGATTCACCAGTTGCGTCCCTTTCTGGACCAGGATGCCTTGCACACGGTCACTCATGCCCTTGTCACGTCACGTCTGGACTACTGTAATGCTCTCTACATGGGGCTCCCCTTGAAGAGCACTCAGAGGCACCAACTGGTCCAGAATGTGGCCGCACAGGTGATTATGGGGGCGACCCGTCGCACCCATGTGACACCTCTCCTGCGCGAGCTGCACTGGCTCCCGGTGGTCTTCCAGGTGCAATTCAAGGTGCTAGTTACCACCTTTAAAGCACTCCATGGCTTAGGACCAGGGTATGTACGAGACTGCCTTCTGCCACCGATAGCCTCCCACCGGCCAATACGCTCCCACAGAGAGGGACTCCTCAGGGTGCCGTCGGCCAAACAATGTCGACTGGCGACACCCAGGGGGAGAGCTTTCTCTCTGGGGGCACCTGCCCTCTGGAATCAACTGCCCCCGGAGATTTGCATGATCCCCGACCTACGTACCTTTGCCGGGCCCTTAAGACTCTTTTGTTCCAACAGGCCGGGCTGGCCTAGAAAATGAATTTTAATTGGGTGTTTGTAGTTTTTAATATAATGGCCAAATTTTTTAATATATTTTAAATTGTTTTTAAATTTTGTGGGTATATGTTGTTTTAATATGGCTGTACACCGCCCTGAGTCCTTCAGGAGAAGGGCGGTATAAAAATTTAATAAATAAATAAATAAAATAGAAAAAGAAGAAGCAAAAGCCTTATTTCAAAGTGCTAAAAAATTTCCCTGGCCTGTTTCTATTATTTAGCCTTTTAAGTTTCAAGAGCTACACTATTCCAGAGAAAAGGAAAAACAAAATTTCCAGTGTTCCGCTCTCTATCAGTCAAAACAACTTCTTATCAATTTAGTTCACAGGCTCCCAAGGTTACATCTCATCCTTGCTCTTATGTCCTCCAATTTTCACTTTTGCCTCTAGATGGCACTGTTGCTCTGCTTCAGTTCAAAAAGAATTTTTTAAAGAAAAACAAAGCTCATATAATTACTTTTATATTAGTTATTAATCCCCAATTTAAAAATTAAGATATCCAGTCCGGTTTTCTGACTTTGCTCTTCAAACAGATCTTTTTAAGCCAGTTTTTATTTTTTTCTTTCTTTATTCTTTTGGCTCCACCCACCTTCCTCACCGCTGTTCTTCCAGAGATAGAAGGGAATAACCAATTCCACCTCCTCCAAGGAGGTTCTTCTTTCAAAGAAAGAAGAAGGAGGTTCTTCTTTCAAAGATTCAAGATGATAGAAAACTTATATATATAAAAAATCTCACCCAGACCAATCACACCTTTCTTCTGCCTCTGCACTCTTGCTGTGAATGCCCCAGCTTCGTAGCGGCTCACAATGGCTGCCTTCTCAGCTGTCAGTTTAGGGAGCTTCCTCCAGATCAATCAGGGAATTTATGGATTCTCTGAGATCGCCAGTGTGTGCTCGCCTTGTTCACCGCCCTACAAGACGGTTTCGGTCCAAAAGGACCACCCAACAGCTGAGATTTCAATGATTCCCTCAGAAGCCAAGGAACATATCTTCTCGCCGTGACGTTAGGCCCCCACCCCCACCCCTGGTGCTTGACTTTCTTAAAAGGGAAGAGTTGTTTTAAGCTTTTTACACTGCTTTAGTGATTCCTGGCACTGTCCTTTTGGGGTGTGCTTCCAAGGGGCAGGATGCAAGCTTGACACTCTGATTTTTTTTACTGCCTTTCTGGGGCATGTGATCTTTCCTTAAATCTGGATCTTTTCCTTAGGATATCTTGTGAGGTGAGAGAGACCAGCTGGTATCTTTAAGTGGTGCAAATGGATCTAAGGATTGCTTCTCCTGGCTGTGAAAGGATGCTTTGTCAGTTCACTGAACACAGGAGTCTCTTGTCTATGGAGATTCTTCAGTCATCCAGGTCATGGTTGTCACAAAGGTGCTTTTTTCAAGAGACAACTGGATTTTCTTGGTTTCCAGAAAGTCCATTGCTTGGAACCAAAGGTATCTGGGCTCAGACTGCCCCTTCTTCTGTCCCAGACAGGACGTTTTATGGTGATACAGTTTTTTTCCAGATAAATAATTGATGGGTATTTAGTTATGAGGAAGGAGATTTCTCTTTCAATAATAGAAATTAAAACTATTTTATTTTAACAAAAAAAGAAGTAAAAATATACAGAGAAAATTGGGATAAGAAAATGAAGAAAAAACCCAAGAAATTATGTTACAAAAGTTTTTCTTTTGTATTGTTGCTAAACGTACTATTTCAAAAGCAGGGGGAAAATAAAGGGGAATAAAAGTGCATTTAGCTGAACTTTGCCTTATCATTATTTTAGGTAGTAATCTATCAAATCAAAAACACAATATGCAAAATTTGCAATCTTTATATTTTCGTCAACTGTAAGTTCAAAAAACAGAGGTGATAAGGACCAGCCTCTCACACACACCCCTTCCAAGAAAGTACAAACTCTTGAAAACTTTGTATTTCAAAAGGAATCCTTTTGTTGAAAAGGGATGAAAGCAAGTCAAAACTCAAAGCAGTCTCTGGGGTCTCTCAGGGCATGCAGTTCAGGATAAAGGAAATTAGGAACCCCTCCTCACCGTCCGATGAGGATTCCAACCAATCCGCCAGTGTGAAGTTGATATCGTACCAACCTCTCTGAGAAACAGATAAGAAGAGCTACTCAGGGCCATCTTGCAATCCACACGTTTCCCCTCTCCCCTCTCATTTCCCAGGAGGTGAGAATTTTCCAGGTACTCCTGGCGCCAGGCAATGGTTATAAATCAGGTTAAAGTTTATACAAAGAGAACCAGGCAGGAAATAGGATATTTAGGATACATAGGAAAGAGAACTAAATGTGACAAATCCAAATCCCCCTCTTCTTCCATGAAGAATGGCAGATACACGGATCTGACAGGTGAATTTGTGGTATCGAATCATTTCTCAAATGAAGCCACTCAGTGAAACAGAATCTTTATAATTGGCACTTTATCTTTGGAAAATACAGCTGATGCTAAATTTATATAATGTACTCTGTATGTATGGTATTTGCAATTCATAGCACTTATTTCTTAATCAAGCTAATAATATTTCATAACTGGAAATAGTTCTTGAAATCCACTATATTTATCAATAAACCCTTATTAATTTTGTTAATCAGTGTGCTCATTGGACAATAGGGAGATATAAAAATTGACTTTATATTCAAGGTGCTCCCATATCTACAAAACGTATGAAAGAAAAATCTTAAATCACTTTTTTTCAGCACCACTATAAATTTTTTCAGCACCACTATAACTTTGAATAGTTGCAGCAAATAGTTGCAGCAAAGTCAAGGATTTTTCACCCCTGATTCTCAGGTTTTGATCAGCTGGTTAGTCTGGATTGACATCTCAGGTTCCTATCACTCTGTCACCTCCTTCCCCTTTTCCTGCTCATTCCCATGCCCATTCCTTACTTCCCCAATTGCCTCCCCCCTCCCTTGCATTTTATGGTAGTATGCCAGTGAAGCAAAAGATGCTAAAGATGGCAGGCCTGACACCATCTATCTTCTAGGTCAAGTAATATAAAGCCCACCCACATCTATCATGCCATTTCTTCTGATGGTTGAAGCACTCATGTTTCTTCTTGCAGGCTGAAGGAGGCAGAGTATCAAGTAGTTTTGGCCAGAAGTCCGAACAATCCCAGTGGAGGCAACAGTGCCACAAAATACAAGACACACTCTTGGTGTCAGAAGCTACCATCCAGGCACAGATAGCCCAGGTCAAACAATACAAAGCCCTACTCAGTGAGTAATATTACCACCCAAAGTGATAAGCTGCATAGTTCTTCAATATTTTAATTACTTGGATGAAAATATGAAGGGAATGTTTATCAACTGTACAGTATGTATTATACATGACATAAAATTGGGCTAAATAGTTAATACCTGGAAGAGACAAATGCAAATCAAAACAATCTTGAGAACTGGGCCAAAAAATAACAGAATGACATTTAACAGAGACAAATTGCAAAGTGTTTGTACTGTTTTGCTGGATTTGGGGGAGGGCTGTTATTTATTTATTAATATTTTAATTTTGTTTTTGTTTTAGCTGCTTAGTCCCTCCTTAAACCAAAGGAATATGTTCTTGAGTTTAAGGACTTCCAAAGAGGATGCCCATGAAAAAGTCTCCTTGCCAGCTTCACATCCAGATATTCCACATTTTTAGTAAAGAGTAAAAGAAACCTAGAAAATGCATGATTTATTATTTAAATTTAAATTTCTATGCCGCCCTTCTCCAGAATAGGACTCAGGGCGGTGAACAGCCAGAATAAAAAACAATACATACAAAATTTAAAAACAATTTAAAATAATTAAATATTATTGGCCGTAAATTAAAATTAAGATTGTGACAGAAATAAAACCTTGTGTTGAAATAGGTGAAAAGAGCTTTACAAAAGAAGCTCCAGAAGAGTGAATGAAATTAAAAATAAAATCAGGGAAATTTGAAGGAGAAATTGAAATAAGAGAATGCTGAAAGGCATAGTTTAAGCAATTTGTATGGAAATAATATCAATATATTAGAGAGAATTGAAATCAATATTAGTTAGTTGTGTCCAAAAAAAATAATAATTAATGCCATGAGAAGGTTAAAAAATGGTATTAACATTCTATTGTGATTGATAAAATGAATGAGCTATTTTCCTGTTTGGGAGTAGACAGAACATGATATTCCAGATAGGGATGTCTGAAAATTATCAAAAATTATATAATTAGATTCAATCCAAGTTTTAAAAAATGCTAAGTCTGGATTAGCTAAATGTAAAATATACTTGTTTCATTTTAAACATAATGTGCAATGTGGCCAAATAATTTCTAAACTTCAAAAAACCCAGTACTTGCACAGCAATATGGACTGTTTCAAGAGAACATTGCTCCTTTCTGTAGAATTTTCTTGAATGGCAATTGATTACATAACAGTGTCTTCATAATAATTTAAACAAAGCTGAAAAAGATAGGTCAACCACCTTATACATATAAACATTTCCCATAAAAAGTATGTGAAGTCTCCAGTCCATTTGCGCAGTTTCTTTGTTGAACAGGCAGATACCGTGTTAGTTAGTGTCCTATCACGGATATCTTTTTGGGTAATCTCACCAAATTTGCTATCATAGTACTTTTTTAGTGAGTTTTTTATGTACTTAATCATAAGTATATCCATATGGAGTCCTCCAAACCTCACTGAACAACTTCTGTCTTTTACTGGAGTTTCCTACTAAGTTTTAAACTGAACTATTAGTGTGCATGCCATATAATTTGCAGTATCTTGTGAGGATCTGGATTTCTGGCAGAAGATCAATGGAAAGTAATTAAAACATTTCTTGTGACAGGTGAACCTATCATACAGCAGAATAACAAGCAGATGCAGGTGGATATTCAAGACTTGGGCTACGAAACCTGTGGGAGAAGTGAAAATGAGGCTGAAAGGGATGAGGCTACAAGCCCTGGTAATGTAAGATGTTTCTCTGGCTGCGATTCTTAATGCTTTCAATTGTTTGACTTATAAAGAACTCCTAAACAATCTTGAGTAAAGAATTCTTAATATAAGAAGGTACAGAAAACAGAATATTTCAAAGTTCCATTTTGGTCATCATTGTACGTGCAAATTGTAGATATTTACAAGCAAAAGAAGATGAATTAGAAAATTGGAATTTGCAGCAGTCCAAACTCAATTTGCCTGGAAGAAAAGTTGATTATTTATTTAGTCTTAATTCTTAGTTTTTGTTTTTGTTGTTGTTGTTGTTTTGTTTTTCTTAGAATGCAGAGATCATGGTGAGCAACTAAAGTTTTGGAAGAAGTCATTGGAGGCCCCTCTAAACAGACAGATGAAACAGGAAACATTCCTGGGTGTCAGCCAAAGTGATGATGATGCAATTCTCCGCCAGCATATTCAGGTCCTCCAGATGCAATTGCAAAGTTCCCACAAAGTTATCCAGAACTTACAAAGTTGTATGCGCTCTGTATCCACTATTAGTGACTATGGTTCTGTGGGAGATCAGCCACTCAAATTGAAGCAAGGCTACACTCTGGGCAATTCTCCTTCCCACAGTATGACTGATGAAGATGAAAGCTGGCAATCTGATAGCTTTGGAACTTTCTGCCCACCAAGTCTCCAGCCCAACAAAGATTTGGCCAGACTTATACAGAGAGTATCCCTGCTGGAAGCTCATCTGAATGAGACTAAGCTAAAGGAATTTTTGACAGAGGAATTGAAATGTACAACCTCCTTGGGGTAGGACATTCCAAGATACAGGGATGAATATGACCAGCTAAGTCTGACAGAGCATTGGTGTAGGTTTCTGCAACATCACAATGGGCAATAAAGTATCTACTTCAAGAGGTTGGCTTTTGCATATTCAAGCAGATGGTATGATCAAACTAAACTTCATTGGGCAGTTTATGTGTCTACAGCACAACTCTAATTTCCTTTCTTCTGGTAACACCAAATAATAGTTCTCTCCATGAGTACTACTGCAAGATAAGTACTAGATAAAATTAATTTAAAACACTATGTTTTGTAATATATGAATCATTTCTGAATTACCCCCTCTCCTGTTAAGATTTTGTAAACTCACTCTAGAATGTGAAAGTGGATTCAGCTCTCTATGATGAATGTATGAGATACTTCAAGTATGGATGTCCTTCTGGTGAATGGGGCAAAGTGCACAGAAAAAATCTTGTTTCTTACTTGTTCTGTTGGATCTCTTAATAACTTTGGCTAATTGTTTGCTCTCTTTTCCCCAAGGAAATATGTCTCGTTAGTCCAAGCTCAAGCTCGAGAGCTCTCCCATCTGCACCAGCTGATGCGAGAGGGACAAAGGGTGTGTCATATACTAAACAAATACTTCAAGGACACCATCAAATCCTTTGAAGAGCTTCTACGAAGCACTGACATTGACTACTACTTGGGGCAGAGCTTCCGTGAGCAACTTGCAGAAGGGAACCAGTTGGCAGACCAGTTGGCCAGAAAACTGAACGAAGGTGAGTTCAATAGGCATTCACAAACTTTAAATTAGAAGCTTTATTTTGGGGTTTTCAAAATTTCCTATAGCTTTCTTTCACCAGTACTTTTGCATTATAGCATAAAGGGTACAGTTCTAAAAAGATGTACATCTTGAAAAGATGTCCATGTCCCACAGTTTGGTGACCACTGTCTTATAGATGGACTTACTGAAAAAAAGTATTACTACTAGAAAGAAAGAAAGAAGTTTCATGTAAGTGACTGATAACTCAGTAGAGATACTGAAAACTATATAGGGAATTTTATACCGCATTAGAATTTAGAGCCTGTGTAAAACTCTATAAAACAAAGGTTGGAATTTCTGGCCTCAACCCAGGATGCCAACCACATGAGTGAGGGATGCTGAATATTTAAGATGAATTGATACTTTACCACAGGCCAACTCAAGGCCCATGGGGTGTTTAAGATCTGGCCCATGGGGCTGCCCTGGAAACAGCGAAGGACTAGCCCCAGTCACTCTGCCAGCAAAAACAGAGCCTGGTGGGGCCACGCATGCCCCCCCCCCCAGGATCTGTTTTTGGCTGCAACGGCCCCCTGAATCTCTCTGCCAGCGAAAACAAAGTGCATGGCCTCCCTGGGCTCCGTTTTCACTGCAGAGGGCTAGCAAAACAAACTAAAAGCAAAACAAAAGGAGAAATGTTTCCCCTTTGCATTTGAGCATCCAAGAAGGGTCAGGAAAGGAAAGAGGGAAAGAGGAAAGAAAAAGAAAAAGAATAAAAGATTGAAGAGAGCAAGGAAGGAAAAAGAAGGAAAGAGAGGAAGAAAAAAGAAAGGAGAAGGAAAAGGGAAGGAAGGAAGGAAGGAAGGAAGGAAGGAAGGAAGGAAGGAAGGAAGGAAGGAAGGAAGGAAGGAGATTATAATGAGAGGGAGGGAGGGTCTGAGGGAAGTCCTGTTTTAGCATTTGGTCACCACAGGTGCCCCCTCTTGACATGAGTGATGTCGAGCTGGCCACAGCCACCCCAACCCCCCAGGGTTAAACACAACACTGATGCGGGCCTTAATGAAATTGACATCCCTGCTTTATCACTATGAAACATGGAATTAAAACTGATGCGCTCTCGCTCTCTCTTTCTGTCTCTCTCTTTCCCTCTCTCTCTCTCACACACACATATCCCACAATAATAAAGTGGGAAATCCCATAAACACAAGCACAATCTAACAATGTGGGAGAGAGTTGCTACCCCATTATTTCATTAGGTTAAGCCTAACAAGTAGATGTCCAAAGCAGCTAATGGAACCATAGGTCAAAGCAGATCTACAATTAGGCTTTACAAGGTCATAGTATGTCCATCATAGATTATGGAGAAATCTATAGAATCATGGGTGCAATATATGAGTAGCTGAAAGATTAACAGGGAAGCTAGTTGGAAACATTGAAATGGCATATTTTTAATTTTGTAAACTCCATGCTTCTCTGTTTTTAATTTTTCATTAAAAGAAGGATATGGGGAGGCTGATTGCATTTCAAGTGATCGATACTGTAGGTCCTGTGACGGAGAAGTTGCACAATCACCAACTTTTAAAAAATTCTGATTTTAGGGAATGATCTAAACATGGAGGCCAAAACAAGTCATGAATTGCTTATGAGGTAATTATTATGGATTGTATTATTATGGATTGTATTATGGATACAGGCTTATTTTGGAATTATCCAAATTACTTTGTCATTTATTTTACTGTATAGTTTGCATCTGTGTTTATTTATTTTATCCTTTTGGCCAAGTTGCTCATGAAAAACTCCCTTTTCAAATTGTCAAGAAACAATTGTCTTTCTTCATAAAATACAGGGCACCTCAATTTATTGAATACCTTGTGCTGGAATCTATTCCATACCAGTATGAAATCCTTTATAGCAATAACAAAATTAATAATAATAAGCCCACACCCTGTGACAATATATGTAACACCATCAAATATCCACATTTGCCTATCCCAGTTCCTTGGAAAGAACTTGATAGGTGGCCAAAAATGTCAAATCCAGTCTGAATCTGTGCAAAGAACCATAATAGTCTTCATGGGATTATTTAGATCATTTGCAGACTATGGGAGTTTACTGGCTGACTAAGAGTACAAAGATCACAGGCTCAAGGTTGACATAGCCTTCCATCCTTCTGAGGTGGGTAAAATGAGGACCCAAATTGTTGGGGGCGATATACTGACTCTGTAAACCGCTTAGAGAGGGCTGTAAAGCACTGTAAAGCAATGTAAAAGTCTAAGTGCTGTTGCTATTGCTATCAGATAGGTGGGGAGTTATATATTCTGAAACTGGGGGAAAGAGTGGGCTGTATCAATATCTTTGGTAATCTTCAAGGTTTGCCTTTCCTTAGGATGAACAAGGAGCTGCAGAAGATACAATCCACCAAGACACTCCAAGCAAAACTACAAGAGAGCTCAGTGACCCCTTCCAATAGCCATATTGTATCTGAGTCACCCTGCTCTCATAGCAACATCTCCTTCCTCTCTGATGACCCAGAAGTCTGCTCTGATGTGGATGACTTTAGTGAAAATAATATAAGTGAAGGCCAAGTCTACAATGTTCTAAACAAAGGTATAGAACTTAAGATCTGGAGGGATATAATCAGGTTTGGCAAGTAAGAGAAACTGTAATCATGGCTGGAGGTTTTCAATAAAAGATTTGTCCAGGATAGTATAAAGTCTCTTGCTTTGGGCAGGGGATTGGACTAGAAGACCTCCAAGGTTTCTTCCAGCCCTATGATTCTATAAATTAATAATTATTTATATCTTATTTATTTGACAAACCAGAATAATCTAATTATAAATCAGTTGTTTTCCTTATCTTCTTACCCCTGGCTAGTAAAAGGAGAGGTCTAGGACAACTAGCTGCAGCTAGCTTGCCATGGCCAACTCGCCTCTGCTAACTTGTTCCCACCAACTCCACACGGCCAACTCGCCACAGGGATAACTTGCCACATGCAGCTGGAGCGAGAGCTGGGTGGATGGGCAAGCAACCAGGTGGGCAGAGCACACAGCATGATGGCTGGGGGCTTCCCATTTTCAAACCTCTTGCTGCTACTGCTGCCATGGCAGGCTCTGAGCAGAAGAAGCTGGGGACAGCAGCGGCAGTCAGGGCAAGTGGTGGGAAGGCAGCAGCAGTTGGGAGCTTCCCATTTTCACACACCCCACTGCTGCCACACTGGGCTCGGGCCTGCCACTCAGAGCCGCTGCTGATGCTGCCATGCTGGGCTTGGAGCAATGGTGGTGGCAGCGGTTTTGAGCCTGCCACAGCAGCAGTGGCTTCAATCCTAGTGTGACAGTGTTGGGGAGGGTAAAAATGGGAAACCCTTGACCACCACCATATCTCCATCACCAGTCGCAACACACTCTGAGCTCTGCCCACCCACTCACTCACCTGCCCACCTGGCTCTCACTTCAGCTGCCTGCAATGAGTTGGCTGTGTGGAGTTTTTCTGCAGTGACTTGGGAGCGGAGAGTTGGTAATGGTGAGCTGGCGGCTTTGAGCTGGCCATGGTGAGTTGTCCCATTCCATAAATGGAGTTCTAAAATCTGATATTACTTTGTGATCTTCTTATGAGTGGTATCACTTCTGTTTCTATAATACAGGTAGTCCTTGAGTTACAAATGTAATGCACCCTGCCCATTCCATTCATAACCGAGAATTCGTGGGAGTGAATCTCATACCTTGAACAGGATCACTCCCTCCTTTTGCCCACACATTTGCTAATCAAATGCAAGGCTCGTTAATTGCACGTGAGGTATTTCAGGGTGGGGAAGGCCATGGGGGGGCCTAATGATGAAACAGGCCACCTGCCTAAGGCCACACAAGGCTTCCCCAACCTACTGAAATACCTCATGCCCCCCACAATTGCTTCTCCCCCAACGTGCTGCACCAGGTCACCTACCTTGTAAAAATCTAGCAAGCAGTCTCATTTCCAGCCTTGTGCGCCACTTTGCGGTTCTATTCGGGCCTCCACAAGCCTCACCTGGCAGGTTTCTGGCCGAAATGGAGCTTCTGAAGGGTGAATCCAACTCTCCATTCAGCCCTCCATGGCCTCCCCTGGCCCATTGCAGGCTGAAATGGAGCCTCCGGGGGCCAGATCTGACCCTCCAATGCTCCGTTCAGCCCTCCATGGGCCTCCCCTAGCCTGTTGCAAGCCGAAATGGCGCTTCTGGGGGCTGCCCCAGGAGACTCCATTCCAGCCTGCAATGGGCCAGGGAAGGGCCACAGAGGGCCAAATGGAGTGTTGGAGGGCCGGATCCAGGCCCTGGAGACTCCATTTCAGCCTGAAACAGGCCAGGGGAGGCCTGTGGATGCCAGAATGGGGCTTCTGAGGGGCAGATCCGCCCCTCAGAAGCTCCATTTCAGCTGGCAATGTGCAGGATGAATGTTGCAGAGCCGCTGCAGTTGTTCATAAGGGTGAACAACTGCCATGTTGCTGCAAGATTCATAGATTCGCGCCTTGTTTGCAAATGCTAGGGGGAGCTAATCATGTAACTTCAAACATTCACTAAGGGAATGCTCATAACCCGGGATTTACGTGTACTGAAAAAGACTTTCTTAGACTCAAAAGCAACGTTCTCTAAATGTCTTAACAAGTAAGAAGAACATGTTAAGTCTTACATATTCTATTAAGTTACTTCTCATTAACATTCCTTAATGTTATGCTGTTTGATTTATTTCTTATGTCACATTATGAAAGAAGCAAACTCTCCATTGTCTTACAATATATTTGTTCTTGTTTTTGAATGCATCTTAGTTTTTTCCACTCTTTGTTATTTATTATAAATTACTATCGTAAGTACATTAACTTATTACCTAGAATAGCTCAGTGCTGAAGGCTGTCATCAAACTATCCTGAAATACTGTTAAATCATCTTAATTGGTTAATTAAATCTAGTAAATTAGTCTAGTGAAAAGAAGGGCTAGAGGTAACATGATAGTAGTGTTCCAATATTTGAAGGGCTGATACAAAGAAGAGGGAACCTATTTTCCAAAACAGCAGAAAGCAAGACAAGACAATGGATGGAAAATAATCAAGGACAAAAGGAACCTAGAACTAAGGAGAAATTTCCTAATAGTGAGAACAATTAACCAGTGGAACAGCATTTATTTATTATTATTATTATTATTATTATTATTATTATTATTATTACTACTACTACTACTACTACTACTATTATTATTATTATTATTATATTTCTATACCACCTTTCTCCCGTAGGACTCGAGGCGGTGTACAGTCAAGAAAAATATAGACACACAAACATCATAAAATTGCTAATTAAAATTATTACTTAGTTTGGTCAATTAAATAAAACCCAGAATTAGATAACATTTAAAGAAAAAAAAAATCATTCACATGTTCATAGGTTTAGCCCCGCCTGTTGAAACATCAGGGTCTTGAGGGCACGGCGGAAAGCACGGAGATCAGGGATATTCCGTATCTCCGGGGGCAGTTCATTCCAAAGGTTTGGAGCTCTCACAGAGAAGGCCCTCCCCCTGGGAGTCGCCAGTCGGCATAATTTGACTGACGGTACTCCGAGTAGTCCCTCCCTGTGAGAATGAACTGGTCGGTGGGAGGCTATTGGTGGCAAAAGACGGTCTCGTAGGTACCCAGGTCCTAAGCCATGGAGCGCTTTAAAGGTGATAACTAACACCTTGAATCGCACCCGGAAGACCACTGGGAGCCAGTGCAGCTCGCGTAGGAGAGGTGTTACATGGGCGTAACGAGCTGCGCCCATAATCACCCGCGCGGCTATATTCTGGACCAGTTGGAGCCTCCGGGTGCTTTTCAAGGGGAGCCCCATGTAGAGAGCATTACAGTAGTCCATACGGGAGGTAACTAGGGCATGAGTGACCGTGCGCAAGGCGCCCCAATCCAGAAAGGGATGCAACTGGCGGATCAGGCGAACCTGATAAAAGGCACCGGCCACGGCCGTCAAATGATCTTCTAAAGATAGCCGTGAATCCAGGAGGACACCCAAGTTGCGGACCCCCTCTGTGGGGAGCAAGATCTCATCCCCTATTGTCAGTGATGGTACCAGCTGACTATACCGGGACGCCGGAAGCCACAGCCACTCGGTCTTGGAGGGGTTGAGTCTGAGCTTGTTTCTCCCCATCCAGATCCGCACGGCCTCCAGGCAACGGGACATCACAGCAAGGTTTTTAGAAGTTTTTAGAAGTTGTGGGTGCTCCATCACTGGAGGCTTTTAAAAAGAGCCTGGAAAGCTACTTGTCTGCAATGGTATAGGATGTCCTGCTTGAGCAGGAAATTGGAGAGATCATTAAAAAGAGATTGAAAATCGCTGTTCATTCAATATTCAAGGTTTGACTGAGCTTCATGCATCTGGAAATAGCAACCTCAAAAACCCATAAATATTGTCTTAGGCTGATCTGCCTTTAGACATTTTTAGACAGTTAATCCAGGCTTTTCTGAAATATTATTATTATTATTATTATTATTATTATTATTATTATTATTATTATTTTATTTCTATACCCCCTTTCTCCCGAAGGACTCAGGGCGGTGTACAGCCTATTAAAAGCACAAAGACAGACATCAATTTAAAAATAATTAAAATTATTAAATAATTTTGGCTCAGATTTAAAACCCCAAATTTAAAACACCCAATTTAAAATCATTACATCAATAGGCCGGCCTGGCAGAACAGCAGGGTCTTGAGGGCACAGCGAAATACGCGGAGGTCAGAGATCTTACGCATTTCCGGGGGCAGTTCATTCCACAGGGCAGGGGCTCCCACAGAGAAGGCCCTCCCCCTGGGTGTCGCCAGCCGACATAACTTGGCTGATGGCACCCTGAGGAGACCCTCTCTGTGGGAGCAAACTGGCCAGTGGGAGGCTATTGGTGGCAGAAGTCGGTCTCGAAGGTACCCGGGTCCTATGCCATGGAGCGTTTTAAAGGTGGTAACCAATACCTTGAATCGCACCCGGAAGACCACTGGGAGCCAGTGCAGCTCGCGCAGGAGGGGTGTCATGTGGGCACAATGAGTTGCGCCCATAACCACCCGCGCGGCCGCATTCTGGACCAGTTGGAGCCTCCGAGTGCTCTTCAAGGGGAGTCCCATGTAGAGAGCATTACAATAGTCCAGCAGGAAGTGACAAGGGCGTGAGTGACCATGCGCAAAGCGTCCCCGTCCAGAAAGGGCTGCAACTGGCAAATCAGGCGAATCTGATAAAAAAAAACCCTGGCCACGGCCGTCATATGCTCTTCTAAAGACAGCCGTGCATCCAGGAGGACACCCAGATTGCGAGCCCTCTCTGTGGGGGGGTAGAGATTCACCCCCAATAGTCAGCGATGGCACCAGCTGACTATATCGGGACGCCGGAAGCCACAGCCACTCGATCTTGGAAGGGTTGAGTCTGAGCCTATTTCTCCCCATCCAGACCCGCACGGCCTCCAGGCAGCAAGACATCACATCAAGGGCATCGTTGGGGTGGTCTGGGGTGGAGATGTACAGCTGAGTGTCATCAGTGTACTGATGTACTCTCACCCCAAAACCACGGATGATCTCACACAGCGGCTTCACATAAATGTTGAAAAGAAGGGGC